ACTCTTTCATCCTGGTTTTAATTGGTATCTGAAGTTGTATTCCTGTCTCTGTTCCAATCAGCAGGTCAGCCAAAGCTCATCTTTCATCAGGTCCACCATGAGACTACCTGATTTGGAAAACAAGCTTTCCACCCAGGCAGCATCATGCACTCTTCATCATCTTTTATAAAAAACCTTTATGCAAGTTAACAAAAATTAAATCACTTAGTGCATACAAAAATTAAAGGCGATAATATTATAGCTTGCATTTCCCAATCATTCTAGGGATTACATAGGAAACTACACTCCATAGGAGATAAATTAGATAGATTTGTTCAAAATATTGTGGATTATTAATATTTATAACATTTCAAAGGACTTTTTTTTTAAACAATTGTTTCAGTTTGATAGTGGTGTTTTATTTGTAAGGCACCAGATGCTTGTACCCTTCCTACCAGTTATAGAATCCACCTGGAATTTCTTTCAATGGTGAGCTGTGTTTTTAATCTATAGTTACAACAGTGTTTCCATTGATGCCCAGCAAATTAGGGTTGTATGTATTCATTTAAATGTGCAACTTGATTTTCTAAAGTGCTGAGCAGCTGTGTTTCATCCTTTCTTTGCCCCTCACTTTGGAAAGACAAAAGTATGTGGATACTCAGCCAGATCTTAAAGACTCATTTTATGTGCATATTTGTGAAAATGTTTCCTTCTGTGTTTTAGCATTCTGCAGAATCTCTTGAAGTGTGTCACCACCTGGTTGCAATTATTGCACTGACCAATGGCTTCATGCATAATTTTACACTTTTTAATGTTAAGATCATCTCCAGTCTGATGAGGAAATGTTAAACAGTACCATTCCAGATTTGAGACCCTGGATATAACAGGGTCTGCGTACAGTGATTTTTGTATTGCTTCAAACTGAGAAATCAACTGAGATGCTCTCTTACAAGAAATCCAAGACTTCCTATGCTCCATGGCAGCTAGGATGTAGGTGTACAACTTCCAACGACTTTCGCCCTTGACTTTGGGGGAATAATCCTCAACAGGTATGAGCAAGCATTGTGCCACTGATCTTAGTGATGCCAAACTGAATAACTGCAGAAATTGGGATTATAACTTTAGAAATTAAATAGTAAAAGCTAATTAAACTCCAACTCTGTCAAAACAATCAGATGACTTTATAACAAGAACAACTCTCACATGAGTGGTTCATCAGTGTCAACCCAAAGACAAATCATTACAGTTTCACAGGAAACCATACTGGCATATTCTGTCCAGTATATTTCATAGAGGAGTCATGAAAAACATCAAATCCTTTTGAACACTGAGTGGTGATCATGTGTAAATCACCCCACTGGCAGCTGCTGCTGCTACTCTGCTTGCTGCAGACTTCTTGCTCCATCATGCTGTACAGAGCAGCTGCTTCAGTGGTTGTTCTTGTTGAGGGCAGCATGGCACACCATGAAAGAAATGAAATCTGCAGATGTAGGTCGTGCTGAATTACTTCAATAATCTGTGATAAAATGGTCATGTTGTTAACCCCAGAATAACAGGGACTGCTTTTCAGAAACTTCAAATTTTCCTGTAGAGCAATCATCATTTCATTCAGTTGCAGTATGCACTAATTAAGCCTGAAGAAAAAGTCAAGCTACTGTGTTGTAATAACATACGCAACTGAAACAGCATTACATGATAATTATTGAACCCATCAGTGCAACTAAAAGAGAGCTACTAACCAGAACATATGGAGCAGAGAGCTATAATTCCTTGCACAATGTTTCATGATACGTTAAAGCACTAGAATGAAAGATTTGACATTTTTTATTGTGTATAGGTAAAGATATATTTTTCTTTTATAAATCTTTATGCACTCAAATCCTTATTTTTTTAATGCATACATACACGCACACTCTCAGTAATCAACATTCAAGGCAAGATCCCCATCCTAGCATTACAGACAAATCTCAGAAGAGATCCCTTTTTTTGGTTCCTGTGGTGAAATCCAGCCTGATATACCCAGCACTTCCTCGCATTTCCTATTTTGGCTTTGCCCCCAGACTTCTAGCATTTAAACTTCCATTTTTTTCTCATGCTCTGCCTCATTCATAATTTATTCATTGCTTAAGTTTTGAAGATTATTTCACATCACCACACTTCCAAATGGTCACTTTCTCTTTATGTGGAATAACCCACTGGAGTATTGAGAATATTGTATGTGTTTACAGAGATCTCATATTTTTCTTGTCATTTTGTTGGTAATACGTGTTGCCTGAGCTAGTCACTAGCAACTCATTGATGCTGTAGCCCAAACCAGTTAGGACTTTGCAAACATCCTGTGTTTGTTCCTTCTGGCTTTTCAGACAGCATTGGTTTGAAAGACCCAGAGCCTTCCAGCACAGACACCACACGTCCTCTTAATAATCCTGTCTCTTTCCTGAACCCTAAAGAGTAACTTGTGAAAGTCAGAACTTAAGAGATTACATCATAAAGTTTTCATCACTCAGAATTTTCTCAGTCAAATTTAGGAAAGAAGAAAACTGCTATCTTGGTTGCAACTAATAACTTACCTCAGATGAGGACCATTGGGCCTTAGTGGTGGTTGCCAAGAAATGGCAATAAAGGACTCACTGATTGGAGTCACAGACAACGGACTAACACTCTGAGGAACTGTTGAAGAGGTAGTCACTCTTGTAGGCAAACTCTCTGTGCAGCCTCCTAGAAAGCCATCACCTCCAGTACAGGCTATTATAGTGACTGAGTAGTTTGTATAGGGTGTAAGGTTAGTCACCGTATGACTTAACCTTGATGAAGGGTTCCCAGTAATGACAATTCGTGGATCAGGCATACGAATCTCATAGTTAAGGATTTCACCATTCTGTATCAGAGGAGGTTTCCATGAGACCTGAAGGGGGAGAAAAAAAAATAAAGCAATGTATTTCTTACAGTCAGATTGCAGAGAAACAGATACAACGTGCTACAGATGGACACAAGTGGGATCTGAAGATGTTCTTTTCCTTTTTTATGAAACAGACTTTTATTTTTAAAGGTACATCAGTTAGATATCTTATCTCTTTTTATTTTATTAAGGTTCCGAGTAACAGTTTTAACCATTGAAAAATACACTATTTTGCCTCACCAGTAAAATGTGAATGCTCCACATCTCTCAAAACTCCATGAGATGCTCAGATGCATTAGCAAAAGTACACTAATTATTGCAAGTATCACTAACTGTCATTTATTTTCTTCGGGTGTATTACCTGGTGTGGTCATCTATTAGTGACAGAGTAAAAACAGATCTTACTTGTATTTGCATGATTTTCAGAAATACGTAACTGCATTAGCTCCTATAAGAAAATGATTTGTCTGCACTCTTTATCTGATGAAATATGGAGGTTTTCCCTTTTATTTTTCATTAACAAAATATGCTGGTAAGTATTAGACAAAGAACAGGCATAATTTTCCATTTTAAGAATTATAAAACACTATTGAGAAAACTTTATCACAAAAAATTGGAAATTGTGCACAGAATTCATGTTTTTATGACTTATATATATACACACAGATATATACATACTCCTACCCTTACTGTGGTTTTACTTTTAATGAACAGAGGTTAGGTGGCGGGGTTGAAGTTTCTGTTTGTTTGGTTTTGTTTGGTTTTTAAAACACATTATTATATATGTTTATTCTTAGCAGCTCCACTGAGGAATCACACTCAAATCATGGGATTATAAAGTGCAAGGGTGTTCTAAATTCTGTTTTAAGGCTTTTTGCCATGGTACCATGACACTGGGGACTTCAGACTGGCATAACAAAGACACAACTGTATGAAGAATCTCAGTGTTTCATAAAGGTAGTGTAAATGCATCTATCAGTCTTTCTTTGGAGAAAACCTAGATATGCACAGGTATGTGTGAAACCTAGCCATGCAAAGAACAAAATGAACAAAGACAATATCGAAGCATTAAATAGTAATATCAAGACACTTTAGTTTCAGTTAATTTGAAATTTTATCTTCATTCTCTCTAGTCTCCAAAATAAGTATCTTTAAAAATGTATATGCACAATTACACACAGCCATGGAAACAGCGAAGCTTGATTTAAAAGGCTCTTGGGGATTATGAAATGTTATATCTTAGGTACAGAAGGACCTCTTAGGCCACTAGACTTCTAAGAAACCTGGCAGCAAAGTGCTGGAAAAGCTGAAGGATTTTGATAACAGAATCTGGAATACTGTTAAACAGAGAATTAGAAACAGGGTGATCTCGAGTAAAGACAACAAACCCAAGATTATTGGTGCCCACATAGGAAAGGTTTAGCTCTGGCTAATTATCAAATGCTGTATTCAGTTTTCTTTTACTTTTGGCCTCAAATCATAATCAAACAAATACAGAAAATGCTATTGATAAAGCAATGCAAAATTTCACAGAAGGTAAGAATTGATCTTGCACCATTCTCACAGACATTGAGCAAAACTCTCATTTTGAAGTAGTTCATGTGCACTAATCATAAGCTTAGGAAACTGAGAAGAATGGGTGATGAGCACAGATAACAGAAAAAGTTTTCAAGTACAAGTATGTGCTGGCTTTGTCTGGCATAGAGTTAATTTTCTTCATAGTAGCTAGCATAAGGCTGGTTTTAATTTGTGCTGAAAACAGTGTTGATAACATGGGGATGTTTTTGCTATTGCTGAACAGTGCTTACATAGCATCAAGGCCTTTTCTGCCTCTCACCCCAGTAATGGAGCAAGAGGCAAAGGACACAAGTAGAAACAAGGGAAGTTAATGCAAATAAAAGATACAAGCTCAGAAACTGGAAAAGGATGCCCACACAGGCTGTACAATCCTTGGACATGAAAGGATGGAGAACTTAATAGAAAACATAACCCAATGCCCACACAGGCTGTACAATCCTTGGATATGAAAGGATGGAGAACTTAATACAAAATATAACCCAGTGCAGCCCTGAGCAGCCTGTTGGGGATGCACAAAGAGTTGAGAGGGGACACAGCAGGGATAGCTAACCCCAGGGGATGAAAGGGATCTCCCATACTATATGGTATCATGCTCAGGATACAAAGCTGAGGGAAGAAGAAAGAAGGGATTATGTTCAGAGTAATGGTATTTGTCTTCCCAAATAACTATTACATGTGATGAAGCCCTGTTCTCCTGGAGATGGCTGAACACCTGCCTGCCCATGGGAAGTTGCAAATGGGCTCCTTGTTTTGCTTTGCTTGTTCATAAAGCTTTTACTTTACGTGTTAAACTGTTTTTATCTCAGCCCACGAGTTTTCTCACTTTTACTCTTCTGATTCTCTTCCCCATCCCATTGTAGAGGGCAAGCACCTGTGTAGGGCTTAGTTGCCAGCTGGGGTTATACCACAGCAAGGTAGAAAGCATTTAGGTCAGCAAACTTCAGGCAAAATTTCCAACCCCAGTGCATTTTGTTGCTACCATACTGCACACACTGGGTGCACTGTCCGTGTTACAGAAAGAGGCAAAGGAGCACGATTCACTTTTAGTTTCAGGGATGTTTCTTTGAAGTTGCTGAAGAAGGACAGAAGAATTTAAGGTCTGAGACACTACAGCAAAACACCCATTTCTGCAACCATGATTATGTTACTTCTGTTTGAAGTGTAGAACCTATCCTGAAATTCTACCTCAGATATTTGAGGTATTCTTTTAGGAATATTAATAAAGCATCTGTCACTACTGGTGAAAGAAGACTTCCTACATGTTGCTTAATGCAAGATGGCCTCTTATAAAAGAACTATATGTCAAATGCTTTGGAAAATTCTTGATACTACCTTCTCAGAAGAGAAAATTGTCTAAAAATGTTCACCTTGTACCAAATCTTATTTCCTGGAAGAGAGGATGAGTAATTTTTTAATCACATTTCATTTGAGATGCCTGACTTTTATGTCTAAACCCACAAAATTAATCTAATACAACTTGTGCAACATTCACCAAACAGTGCAACCTCTCCACATAAAGGAACATATTAATAGCATGGCAGGAGAACAGATGCTGCTTCAGAACCTCAGCTCCCCAGTTTTTCACAGAGCACACACTAGCTGGTAAACTTAAAAAAACTCCCAAGTGTTACTTCACAGCATTTGCTCTGCACTAGCAAATTAAGTATCTCATACTGCAGGTAACATAGATGCTTCACGTTGTTTAAAATGGGAAATATCTTTGAAATTTTTTTTTTCTAAGAGAAATGAAAACCAGGCTGAACAAAGAGCATATTGAGTCAGCAGCAGACACAATGCAACTTATTTTTGCCTGAGCATGGATATCTGATACAAAGCTAGGTAGATCAGTTAGTTGTCCCTTTGGTTAGTACTTTTTTAAACTACATAAAGGAATGACCAAGGATACTCCCAGACACTGCTGTGTCACCTGACCTGCTTTGAAGTCCATAGGTCACCTGGGAATGACAGGACATGCAATCCCTCACAAACCTCTCTTGTCCAGAGGCAAGGGACTGCCTGACCCATACAGTGTAAATGAAGATGATGGATCCAGCCTGGTTAACACACATGTGGCACTACTGGACCTCTTTTCCACTTTGATGTGCCAAGGTTTGAGGTAAGAGCTTGGCAATGCATGAAAGCAGGAAAGCTCACTAGACAGGCTGTGTTGGAAGCAGTAACAGTTTGTTCATTGATTTGAAGCTCAGCACTGAGACCATGAAAGAGGATGCCCATGAGGAAGAGAGAATAAGGTAACTACTGGGAGAGATTAACTGATTCAATGTAATGACTCTGGAAGCTTTCATTTAAAGATCAAAGGACCTTATTTTCTCCACCACAAAATTTAAAGAGACAGAAATTAGCCATTTCCCCCCCATTAAACAGTTATAACCTTGGAATATTTTTTTCCTTTTGACAGCAGTTGGAACCCTGCAACTTAATTCTGAGCTATGTGAAAAGAGACATTGGCACATGTGTAGCTATTTAACTGCTCAGGCCTGGCTTCAACAGTTTGCTTTTAAATCAGCATGTTTGGCTTCATTTTATTCTCATTTCTCCCAGCTACTGCTTATAACATCTACATACAGAATGTAATAAATACACTACTGAGAGCTTTACACTGTCATTCTCAAAGCATGTTGTAAGTCTCAAATTGCAAATATTATTATTATTCCAGTTTTAAAGATGAAAAGACTAAATCCCAGACTAAGTCACATAACCAAAAGCAGCAAAGCTCAACACAAAGACCTGCTACTCTAGTTCTGCATTCCAACCACTGGACCAAAGTCCTCTGACAACCCTCCAGTATCCTTAAAAGTAGTCGGGAGATAAATTTCCTTCTAAGTTCTTATCTGTCTTAACAAAAATTATAGTGGGATCAAGAGCTAGGAATATACAGCAAATGCAAAATCTGATAGAAGTACTGACAATTTTGCTCATACACTTTGAACATGAGTTACATCACCCTCAGCAAGAACTACCACAGAAGAACAGCACCATCAAGTTTCCAGTAACAGATTGCTACTACAAAAACTTCTAGAAGAATTTAGCTTGAGTAGTGGGAAAACCAAAAGAATATTTATTTATTATCCTAAACACCTACACTACAGTACAGTGTTTCAACTATATCAAAGGCAAAGGAATGATGCTGGTGAAACCCTGATTAGTTCACCCCACTGTATGATCTGTACCAAATGATCAAGCTTGTGCAAGCAATCACAGTCCTAACATGTGGAAAACCTCTAGTGTGCAAGTTAAGGTTGTTCCTATGGGTGTTGGAATATCCTAAGTTGCTCAAGCAGCACTTATGTAGCAAATGAACCAAGGTCTCACTGACCTTAGCAGCATTACAAGGCATTCTTCACACAAAGATTGATTGCTCATAAACAGTGTCCCCAATGCACCAGGTATACCTGCATAAAACTGGATGTGTAGAGAACAAAGTCAAAACTCCTTTTTTTTCCTTTCCAGCATGAAGCTGTTACGTGGGCTTACTGCATGGCCCTTTAGCATATAAGGCCTAGGTGTCACTGTTGTTTGTGTTCCCAAAATTATGGTCTTGGGTAACTGCAGACTGATGTACTCACACTGTAACTACAGGGTATATTGCTTTAAACATGTCAGTGATATCTATTCCATACAGCTGGAATCATCCTCTTGTGCATTTTAGTCCCAGCCTATTTACAGAACAACAGGCATTTAGCAGTCCACTATCCAGCGTCTGGGTTAATGAAGAACATAAGACAACTATAAAAATAGAGCTTCGTTTATTTGTGTTTGCTCACTTGCACGTACAATTTAGTAGTCAAATTGGAGAAATACATACTAGAAAACTTTATCACTCTGTAGCAATAAATGATAATCTACTGCACTGAAAGATAACTGATGGCAACTCTTGAAGATCTTATGGACAGCAAACTAATGACATTGTTCAGTCAGTAGACTGAAACTTCAGGTTCTTTTATGCAAAGAAAAAAATGGCACATGAACTGTAAATTAAGAGATTGTCATCTCTGAGGGTAAAAACAAATGTGAATGGCACGGGAATGGCCTACAACCCTTCCTCAGTCAGAAAAGTCACAAGGAAACACTTAAGAAAAATAAATAATCCATGGAAAATCAGTGACATGATATTGAATCAATATGCAAAATAAAAAAAGAAATTACAAAGAAGAATGACAGTTTCATGCTACAGGCCTTCATTTCTTGCAGGCAATATACATAACATATATTAAGAGAGAAGTCAATGAAATCATAATAATTTTTTATTTTCCTTATTTTGTATCTAATCAAATTGCAGGAAGTTTCTATCATGACAGAATAGCATAGCACATGAACTATATGTCAACAAGGTACTTATTCCATCCAATTGGGATGAAACCATTCTCTTATAACCTCTTTGAGCACCAAAAAGTTATCCTTCCCTATCGACAGAAACATCAGGACTATATATAGCCCACATCAACTTCTATCTTGAGAAAAAAGTTGCACAAACAGTGATAGGAAATGGCTGCAGCTTTTCATCTATCAGTGGTCCAGCTGGTGGCACTGATCAGCAAGGGAGAACAATAAAGGCCAGTGTGAGTCAGCACACTTCTGGTTAAGCCAATAATCAAGACTATAGTTGTCTGCCCCAGGTAAGAGTCCTCAAGAAAGAACCCCAGCAGCAAAAAGGAAGTCCTCCTATCAATAGTTATAAGGCCAAAATTGGACAATTTGTATAATACAGCTAATTTAGTTCAGCATACCCAGTCACATAATGCTTTTCCTACACAAAGAACTCCACTAAATAATTATTCACTGTGTAAATCAGCCTCCTTCTCAAGCCACTCCACCTAGCTACATTCCCGAATGTCGTATCAGTGTGAAGTGTGAGACTGAAGCAGCACAGCAATTGCAACCCTCACAAGAAAAAAACCCCAACACAATTTCTTTTCTACTTCTGTACATTAGGGTATAGCAAATCTTGTGTAACAAGAATAATGTTCATGGCATCGGCATATACTAAATAAACGGCTTTTGCAGTTGCGGAATACCTCCACTTCACTTTGGCATTTAATCAGCCACACAAGCAGTTTATTGCGCATTATACTCCGCTACCATGAACATTATCAATTCAGCAAATATTAAAAAATATCATGCAGGTGTCACAGAAATGGGTACTTTGAAAATTATCGACAGCTTTACACTTTTTGTTGCACAAAAGAAAGCAAGTTAAATGTTATGGAGAGATATCATTCCATTCTGATTAAAATTAAATGTTAAAGGAACACATACACATGCCAAGAGTGACCTGCTGTGCTGATATTTTCCTCCTTGTAAAGTGAAAGCTTTGGTCTATGAAAATAAGCTGTATACTCAAGTGAGTACTTTCCAGGAGCACTTTGAATTCTCTACATCCTCAAATCATTTATATTGATTCTATGACTAAATAAAGGAATGGAAATATGTTTCTCTTTTTTGTAAATTCTCTCTGTTTTCAGTAGAAGTAAATATTTGCACTCATGGTATAGGGATTGGTTGCACTGACAGCTGAAAGCCTCTATCGATTCGCAGCCGTGGCTTGGTAAAGGAGCCTCTTGCTACTGTTTCCCACAGTGCCCTTCCAATACCTGGGAGGACAGCTCTCTCCCTCTAACC